CGGTTCTTGATGTATGTGTGCCCCCACCACCTTGGTGCTCTTGGTGCTGGCCGGCCCGATCTAGCAACACTGGCCGAAGCGCCGAGTGCACACGTACACGGCTGTTCGCCTGTGTGCGTATCCCCTCCACTTGCTGCTGAGTGCTTACTGAGTCCACGAACTGGCATCTCTGCTCGAGACCTCCGAGTTCGCAGCTCCTGCACTCAGGCCGCGAGACCACTGGGCCGGTCTGCTGGTATCAATATATTCTGAAACACAGCTTTAATATAAAGAAGAACCACCGCACGAACTGTTTCGTAACGCGTTACGTTACGTGACCGTACACGTAGATTCGTACATATACTTGAATTTTTGACTGAAATGATTGTTCATATTTGGAATTTTTTACATTTGTTGATTCGGATAACAATGTTGATTGTTTTCTTTTAAAGGAAAAAATCAATTCCGATGACGATTTGCTCATAGAACACTGTAAAAGCAATTAATTTTTTAATAATAAGTAAATTATAATATTTCATTCAAAATAATACAAAAATACTCTTAGCAAATGTTTTCAACAATCCTTTTTACTAATTAATAGCAATTACTTACATAAATGTTTTTCTTATTAGAGAAATCCATTATCACATGTTCTATTTATTATTTTAACTAAGGTTAGAGTTAAGGTTAGAATTAATATTACGACTGCGTTCATTTTAAACACACACTTTAAATGCTCCTTTTTTTCTTTTAACGATAAAGACAAAAAAAGCATTTAGGCCGAAGCACAGACTTTTGCATAACGCATAACGCATAAGACATAACAAAATCAAGGTGCTGGTGCTCTTTTGGCTCAGTGGACCTATAAAGCTAGTCCATACGCCATTCTATGTCTTTTTGATAACAGGTTTAAAACCGTGGGTTGGCATAAGAAAATCAACTAATCAAAGCCTTCTAGAACGAAAAGTAGAGATAAACATAGAAGACTGGATTGGTTGATTTTTTAATGTTTTATACCCCATACAGCACCGTAGCTTCCAGTAATATTTCAGAAACGTTGCAACATTGCAAGTTGCACTGTAATATTGCAGAGACGTTTAAGAGATATACAATATCAATGTTTCTCCAAAATAATTCTACAATGTCGCAGAAATATATATTAAATATNAATATATTATAAAATGTTTAGGATAATTTGTATAAGTATTTTGTATAAGTAGTATGTTTAATTGTATATTATTGCACACTTGTAAATAGCTATAAACAAACATATATGTATATATTATATATATACACAAACATATATATATATACATATATATATATACAGCATAAGTCGCAAAACAGAATTTAGTTATTCAAAATGGAGCAGTCGAAGCTAACTCGTCTCGAAAGTCTACATTCTGATCCGCGATTTGCAATTTCAAATGTGCTCCGCATCCGCAAAACGTGTAAAACACGACTTAAGACAAAGGCTGCGTTCCGAGTTACGCATATGCGCGTATTTATCTATACTATACGTTACGTGTACTATAGATAAATGCGTGCATATGCGTAACTCGGAACGCAGCCAAAGACTGTTGGACTGCGCTGTTTCTTTCGCCGCGCACGCGCGAAAAACAGCTCGCTCTTGTACAAGTGCGTAGTGAGTGCCGGTACCGGTTTCTTGTGATCTCTACGCGTCTTCACCACAAAATCGTATTACTTAGGTAATTTTTCGTTTTTTTTTTACCTATATTATATTTTATTACAGAAGGAAATAAAGTTTCAGATTAATTTTCTATTCTACATTTTTATTGCAATATTTCTTACACATCATCTATTAATATACTTCACACAGTTCGAGGTTATGCCTTAGAACGTATAAAAAATATGTATATTTCTTTTCTTGTTCTTTATCTCATATAAAAATCTTTTATGTTGCAGTGTAAAGCAGAAAGAAAACGTTAAAAGTTTTGTGTTGCCTCATCTTTTATTTCTGTCTGGATTTTCTTTGCATAGAAT